CAAAGTGGTCTATCTTGTTTAAGAGTAAGGTTAGAATGGAGTTTCATTCTAACCGTGCTTGAGTCCTTTTTTCTGGAAAAAGATAATTATAATTTCATTGAAATTAGTACAAGAAAAGAGACACAATGTATAGCCCCTGTACACAAGATTCTGTACCCTGAGCCTGAACAAACCTTTCAGCCTTTACAAAAAGAGATTAACACTATCAAAAAACTTTTCAAAAGGTATTCCTTTAAAAGATGGGAAGAAACTTATCCATGAGAAAAGGGATCTACATATTCTGTTAACTATTTCCTCCTCCAAAGCTTGGTGTCGATAGAAACTATTTCATTCTAACTTTGCTTGAGACATGTAAAAAAATATAAACATATACATAGGCATAAATGGCTTTGCTTCAATTCAACCATCCAAGCCTGACCAATAATGCCAACTGGAACCTTTTAGCCCACAAATAAGGAGGGGAAGGCAAGGCAAGACAAATAATAAACAGAGGAGAAAACATCGAGATGTTCTCGTCTCAAAGGATTTTGCTAGACTAAAAGGAGGCCTGTCTAGGATTAAACCAAGCAAGAAGATCTTGAAGATCAAGGAAACCTCTAAAAGTTTTTAGTGGTTAGTGGGTTAGAGACTGCAATGTTTGAGGGTGGGTCTACTGTTGGTACTCAAGGGAGGCTGTTGTTTCTCATGGGTTTTGAAGTGTTCTGAGTGTACTGTCTTTGAGGTTGAGTTTTTGCATTATTGAGTTTTGCCTGGTCTATGGTTGTTGTAGTTTGTGTTTGTTTAGTGGTTTTTTGGGCTCTTGGGTTTGGTGATTTTGTGGCTCGGCAGGGTTGGTTGCTTGTTTATGAGTTGGAGTGTGTTTTTCTTTTTCTTTTTTTATCAATAACTGAATTTCATTAGATTAATAAAAAATAATTACAGGATTAGGAGAGGTAAACTGTCTTGCCTCTCCACAACAACTATGCAATTACAAAAGATCCCAAAACAAATGATTCCTTTCCACGCCTTGCTTAGCTAAAACATCAGCAAAGGCATTTGCGATCCTTTTAACCCAGCTGAATTGCACTTCCATATCTTTCGTCAGCCATTTAAATCTCTTTCTCTCATTGTTGTAAATCCAGAAACCCTTATCTTCCTTTTGCAACCATTCCACTACTAACTTTGAGTAACCTTCATCAACTTCCTAACATCCAGCTCCTTTGCCTTTTGCACTCCTTCCATGACAGCCATAACCCCAGCCCTTAGAGAATCACCTACTCCAATAGGGCCCGAATATAATTCAATAACTCTGACTTCACCATCTCTAAAAAACCCTCTGATACTATAAGGACCTGGGTTTCCAGCACTACTCCCATCAAAGTTCAGTTTGATGTTAAACGTAGGAGGAGACCAAACAGGACATACTGGCCACTTCCATCCATGAGTTCAAGATATCACCTGTTGAGAAGTTGGCAAACATATCCATAGATTTAATCCAATTAACCACTCTCACCATAATGGTTTCTATGATAGCTTCTCTACTTCTTTCCCTTTTTGAAAACAATCTTGCATTCCTCTCTTCCCAAGTTCCCATATGGTCCAACATACAGCCGCCCTAACACATCTCCATAAGACTCGTATCCTTTTCTTTGGCTACTTCAAGAAAGAGGACCAAACAAGCTTTGCACATTAGTCGGGGGAGACTAGTGAGGAGATAAGCACCAATTTGTTCTTTTCCTTTGGAGTAAATCACAAGTATTAATTCTTTCCAGGAAGACTTCCCAACAAAAAACCCCAAACCTCAACCACTAGAAATGGAATTCCGGAAGAATCAATAGGTTGAATGAGGGCCTTGAAGAAAGAAGCACATGAAAATTGAAGGAACCGGAGGAGGAAAGAGTTCAAATGCAACTATCAGGTTTTGAGGAGTCCAAGTAAACCCCATCAAGGATATGAAGCAAATCCAAGACCTCGTTAAATTCTGAATCACTCAGACCCCTCCTTAAACCCAAATCCCAATCAAAACCAGTTCTTAAACTTGAGGGAATCAAGAAGGATGACACAGGTTTATCCTTATATTGTGATAGGGCAAATATGACGGGATATTTATTTTTCAAAGATAGATTACCCACCTGAACCTGTTCCCAAAATTTTATAAGGTTACCAGAACAAAGATCATATCTGATAAACAGCAGGAAAGAAGGACAGCAATAATGGCTTTCCAAGTCAATGTAGCCCCAGCCAAAATTCCAACATCCCAACCGTCAACTGCAAACCCACGAATTCTAATCACTATCTTAGCCCAAATCTTGTCCTTCTCCATAGGTAGTCTCCATAGCAACTTTCCCAGCAGAGCCTCATTTCTTTTTAGTAAGTTACCTAGGCCTAACAAAACCTCATAGTTACATGAGTGTGTTTTTCATTTCTCTCTTGACTGACTTCTGGTCACTCCCCTTCTATACTCTACTTTTCTGTTTAATAAATTTTATTTTTATTACCAAAAAAATAAACAGAGGAGAAATGAATGAAAGATACTTAACTATGTTACGTGATCTTTTTAAACATAGTAACCAACCTATGACAAGTTCACGTCCTGAAGAAAACTGTTACTAAACTTATTCAGTGTGTGTGAAACCTGCCCCAAACCCAAATAGAGGCCGTTGAGGCAAGACGCTTGCCCAAACTGCACTATCTCTATCCCTAATATAATATTGGAGCAGAGACAATTTTAGAAGGAACACAAGCTTGGATTTGGGGTTACAAGACCTAGAAAACAGTATAGGGTCCTATGGCTTCTCACATTCCTATATTTTGAGAGAATCAAGATACATGTTTATGGATGTCTTTGATTCTAATGGTGTATTGTACATACCACTTTGGGAGAAAAAGGTGTGTGCATGGAGCCTATGGTGGTTTGGGGGTGGCGTCCCCAAAGTGAACCAGATGTGAAATGTATCCATATAGCGATATTTTGGGTATTTTATGCACCACTAATATGTATTCTCTATGGGGTCAAATTAAGGTTTATGAGAGGAGAAACTCTATTCTTCAGGAACTAGCAAGAAAAACCTATGGTTGTAATGCCAGTTGAAAATACATTGGAACTTCAATGTTCATACGAGTGATTTGAAAGGTGCACCTGCACACAGGTGAGGTCTCAGGCACAGCACTTTCAAAAGGCACGCGCCTGGTGCACACTGCGTTTCAGCCCAAGCGCCCCTAGACCCAACCAAGCCCCTTAAGTAAAGCCCAAACAAGCCCATATCAGAGTCTTAAATTCATAATCCCTATACTGTTGCTCATTCATTCATCATAATAAAAGATAGGGCCATTTACTAGAACACCCCCTATAGTTTCACAGATTTACTTAAACCTACACTATAGTTTGTATTTTAATAAAATACCCCTTATAGTTTGTAGCCTATTTATTTAATCGACCTTTCATCAAGAACTATATGTTTTTCCATCTGAAAATAGTAACATGATCACCTAAACTAAGTGGAAAATGTTCAAGGGCATGGGTCCAGGGTTGTTTATTCCAAAAGTACCCCTAACACTTTTTTGTATAGAAAACAAAACTGACCAAATAGAGAAAAATAGAGTGGTTGCCCATGTTTTACTAGGGAAAAAATGGTATTTTTGTTTTTAGTTTCTTTTGATTAAATTTATTTGAATGGACGTTAGAGTTAAAACTGTCATTTTCCACTTTCATCTAATGGAAGGTCGATTGAGTAAATTGATTGCAAACTATAGAGGATATTTTTGTAAAACACAAACTATGTAGGTTTTAGTAAATTCATGAAACTGTGGGGGGTGTTTTAGTAAATGACCTTAAAAGATATTTTTAAAAGACAATTAAAATTATAAAATCCTTTTTATAGGAATTAAGAATTTAAGACTTTGTCATGGGCTTGTTTGGGCTTGCCTCAAGGGGCTTGATACAAAAGCAACTCAGAGAATGAAGAATGCATAATGTTTAACATCACATTAGCTATTTGGAGTAATGCAATTGGGAACAAAAAAATAAAGAGATTGAGAGTTTTACATGCTTGAATATGTTTTATATGTTTTTCTTTATTATTTGTAAATTATCATTTTAAATATGTTTTACATGTTATGTTTATGTATTTTAATTTTAGATAATAGGTTTTTTTAAAACATTTATTCTAAGTTCATATTTTTAATTAATATTATGTTAAACATTTGTTTTTTTTTTCATTTTTATTTCTTTGAATTTTTTAGCATTTTTGCACCTTGCTTCGAAAAGGCATGAGGCGCAAAATGCCCCTTGCGCTTTTAAAACACTAGTTCATACATGGACAAGATGAGGACAGCCAAAAAGGATCTCCAGTATTACTATCTACTGTCACACAATTAAGACAGACGTGATTAGAAAGTGGGATCAACTTGAAATATGATCTCAACTGTTCATTTTTACCATTTATAGATAACTTAGAAAAACAATATCTAAGTTAGATGGTTAAACCATTAAAATTAAGTAAATATGCTTTTTACTTTCTCTGGAGACGCTCATAGTTGGAATGTTGGATATTTGATCCTCTGGATATGCAAACTGCGGCCTCCGTCTACACCTGCAAGTCTCGCAGACCCAGGCACAAGGCACTCAAAATTTTCATTTTGCATGATATGGATATATGAATGTCATTTAAGAAAGTCTCATCACACTCACCCACAGAAAGGATAACAGAGATAAAAGTAAGTTCAATTGATGCAGACCCTAAAATGACATTTTATTCTTCAACGAGTCTATATCTACAAAGGAAAACAAATCCCATATCCATGCGCCTCAGACAGCAGCCTATATAGGACTTATTTCAAACGCTAATTAAACCAAAACGAAGGAGCCCTTAATTTCTAAGACCTTAATTATTTATTAATTTACAGTAGGTAAACAAAGACTAAATTGAAACACTAGAGATTGCATCAGATATAACTAATCTTGATAGTCTGACGCCAAATTTCCCACAACAATATCCTAGAAGATTAAATAAAACCCGCACCTATTGTTATGGGTACTGTGGTTAACGGAAAAACTTGTAGAAAAATCGCATCTTCCCCATAGTGTGCCTTGCTTTTCAGAAAGAAGATATCTGGAAGGGACAGAATACGCAGGATATAAGTTCCACTGACAGAGAAAGAGTTGCACAGGGCATGAAGGTTGTCTCCTTAGTTGACATTGACAGAAGACGTAGCGACGTAGCGACGTACCTGTTACTAAATCTTCCACTCCATCGCCGAAAGCAAGAGAAAACCATAGAACTCCTCACCATCGCAAAGGAAGCAATGGTGAATCAGAGTCGGAGAATCAGAGAAACCCTATGTCCATGTATTCTGGCGCCAACACTTACAAGCTCGTTACCTGGAGACTTCAACAAATCAGCTACTCCCGTTGGAGTAGCGCTAGGCTAAAACCGTGAAATCACGACCTTCGACGTATTTCTGTGGCCCTACTTTACGTCACTTCATCCAATTCAAGGTGGACCACATCAATGCATCAAGGGCCGTGATTCACGGTTTTAACCCAGGGCTACCGAGAGTAGCTGATTTTTGAGCGGAGCCAGTAACAAATTCAAACTCACGTCAGCGTCCCCTCGTCCACATCAGCCCTTGGCCAAGTCGTCCACGTCAGCCCTTACCCACCAACCAGATTTGAGTGCGTTTGGCATTGATCGGGGCGTCAAACCGCTTCTTCCTTAAGTCAATAGTCAGTGGGGGGGCCACGAGCTGAGCTCTTCACAAGCTACTCGAGCTGAGCATAGACAAGTTGAGTTGAGCCGAGCTCGAGCCCAATTTACGGGCTCAATTAATAAACAAGTCGAGCTCTAGCCAAATAGAGCTCCGCTCGTGAGCTCTATTATATATACTCACGAGTCGAGTATATATAATAAAAATATTATAATTCTTAATTTTTTTAATATCAAATAAAAAATATTTTTTATATATAATTTTTATTTTTATAAACTTTTTTTTTTTCAAATCGAGCTCAAGCTTACGAGTTTTTTACTCGAGTGAGTTCAAGCTCAAGGTTCCATCTCAAACTAAGCTTGAGCCTTGTACTACCTTGGCGAGCCAAGCTCGAGCCTCATACTATTCGACTTGGCTTGGCTCGAATCCACCCCTACATGTGAATTTGTAACCGAGACTAATGGGCTTAAGGGGTGTTTGTAGTGTGCATGAGAAATTGGTGGGTGTGGATTGGTCCACACCACATCCTGTGGCAATGACCAATCCACACCATACCATAGTCCACAATTGTTCTGAATTGTGGACAATTTGTGTAGACTAAACCAGGCCACACCCACAGTCAAGGTATAAAATATCGATATGATATGTTCGATATAGGGCGTATCGTATCATGTCTTTGAAAAACAGATACGGTATATGCATGGAAATCGGACGTCTCATCTTTTTTCATGCATATCGGACCCATATCGGGACGTATCGATGAAAAAAAATATGGCCAAAAACTGAAAAAAAAAAATAAAGGAGAAAAGCAAGCTTCTTTTCCCTAAAATAAGCTTTATTTCACCCCCAAATGACTCTAAAACTCCAAACTTCATTCCTAGAGTGCTAGATTTGCAATAAACAAGTGTGAATTGTTTTTTTTTTCAAAATTTTAAAAGTATAGCAAAAATAGGTAAGTTTTTTCAATTTTTTAAAATATCTTGTGACTTCCTTTTTTCTTGAATGTTTAAATTTATGTTGGTCTACATTTCTTACGTTCAAAATCATAATTTTTTTGTGTTATTAATAAGTTTATGGAAATTTCATAAAGATATTTGGGGAAATATAAATTAATAAAAATTTTGAAAATGTAATTTTCCTCTGCCTATAACGACTAAATATGCTTTAGATCTATGGATTTATCTGTCATATCCATAGAGCAATTGAAGTTTATTCTTTAGTATTTTTTTGATTTTTTATATTTTTAAAATTAGAAATAAGTAATAATTAATTATATTTTATCATTTGATCACAACAATTGAATATATTATAATTCTATGGATGATCTATCATATCCACAAACCAATTGAAATTTCTTATTTAATATTTTTTATTTTTTATATTTTAGAATTAAAAAATAAATAATAATTAATTATATTTTATCATTTGATCACAACAATTGAATATATTATAATTCTATGGATGATCTATCATATCCACAAACCAATTGAAATTTCTTCTTTAATAACTATTTTTTAAATATATTATATAATGTTTATTTATTTTTTATAATTTTTGGAAATAAATAATAAATAATTATTGATTATATTTTCACTTAGAAGTTGTGCCAATGCATGTTTTATGGTTGATAGGAGAGTTGGATTTTCCATCCCATAAAACATTAAAACTTAAGAATTATAATTTAGAAATTATAGTTAAGCATATGATTTTTAATGAGATCATAATTAACTATAATATATTTCTTCATAAAACCATTAAAATATATTAATTTAATGTATATACACCTCATTAAGGTTTTATATTTAGTTTTATTGATGCATTTTTATGATTTATTAAAGTATTTATAGTGTTTCCAAGCGTATCTATGTGTATCTTAATTTTTTTCCGATACGCATGCTTATCCAAGGCGTATCCCAATACGTTTCTTAAAATCGCCTTTCCGATACTTTGAACCTTGCCTATAGTGGCGTTCTGTAGGCATGATGTGGATCAATCCACACCACACTTTTTTATTCAATGTATCTCATATACATTTTATGAATAACCTACACAGTTAATCATGAATATCTAATTTTTGGATTTTATATGATAAATATATTGAAAAATGCATCAATGAATTAATATTAGCCAATAAATATTATTTTTTATAAAAATAATATTAAAATAATTAAAAATAAAAAACATATTTTAAATATTTAAAAGTATTATTTTATTATTAAAAATTAAAATAATTAAAATAATTAATATTTTATTGATAGAAATATTAAAATGTGAAACAGACAATAGGATTTCAACTTTTCAGGGAGAGTGTGAAGTAGGGAATTAAAAATAGACTGTGGACGGGCCAACTGAACAAGTGTTCATCCTGTAGACGATCCATGAGATGAATACGGTGTCGAACACCGCCTTAATTTACAGGGTACTCCTCTCACCTCCCAAATTAATATGAATCTCCATGGGCCCAGGGCCCAAGTCTATGTTTTGATATGATCCATGGTTTAAGGGTCCAAGTGTATCAAAGTCCAAGTAAGCCCATCTTATTGTAATATGATGATTCTATTGGCACGACCATCAATTTTACATGTGATTTATTAGCAAAGTGGACCGGTGTGTCATCATAATCCTATGCCGTAAATAACAGAACGAGACTCTATTTCACAATTACATTTACATGTGATTTTGGAGAGGCTGTCATTCACTCGTACCAATACTTTGAAAATTGCAAACAACCACAGACATTTTAGCATGGGTTACTTGAAAGCATTAAAATTGATTTGTTTTTTCTACTGGATGTTCAACGATGTGAATGATATTGTTTTCTAAAACAAATTAAGACAACTGCCATTGATATAGCAGGTGTTTATTTTCAAAAACAAAACCATTCACATTGTTAAACACCCTTGAAATTTGCTAGACAACCTCACCTAATTGGCAAATCTAAAACCTCACCTAATTGCCATTGCAGTCGTGCATTGGGAACATCTCCCTACTTATATATTTTTATTTATAGGAAGATATTCCTAAAATACAGCTAGAAGAGGCTATGAGAAGGATGTGAGGATGGTTATGTAAGGACCAAACCATTTTCTCCATTTGATATGATAAGACCCCTCGGGAGTCGGGATCTACCATGGTTTCATTCCTTTGGTCCACATCCACCCTAAACCCCCCATGTGTGCATAAAAGTTTTGATCGACTTATAACTCCTTTGCAACTCTACATCTGAAGTGCATTTGTTTTATATTGAGAAACACCCACTTTAATTTATCTTTGCTACTCCTTTCTTACTACATGGTGGCTTGAACAGCTTAATCAGGCCTAATCAAATCGAAGCCCGATTGAAAGTTTTTTGTGTAAACTAAATACCAAACACCTTTATTGTGTTCTATCTAATGCATCCTTCTTTTATAAATGGAATGACGAAAATGTCTACCCTCAAAATTTTTCTTTAATGATATATATTTATATCATGGGACCCATTTAATGAGGGGTTTCCAATCTCCATCTTCTCTACATGGAATAGGTGGAAGCTTTATCCACTTTTTCTCCCTCTTTATTTAGCTTCCGCTCTCAGTCCCTCACTTTCATTGCTTTTGTGAGCATGGACAAGACCAAACCTCTTTTATTTTATTAGTGCTTTCTATTGTGTGTGTTCTAGGGAGTAGTGAATTTGCGGCAGACCCATACGTATCTATCATTGAGTGCTCTGGTCGCAGGCAAGCCCATAACTTTACACAATTTGATTTCTATTCTTTATAGTGACGTTATAATGGTGTTTCACAAAAGAAGGGAAAAGATGAGGTAATCTCATTAAATCCCGGAACTTGGAGCCTGACTTTGCCAATTGCCGCCTCCAAGCCCTCCACCTTCTTTTGTTTTGCATTGTTGAGGGATTGCAGTTGCAACTTGCAACAAACTATTTACATGCATTCTTTCTTTATTGCAACCTCTTTCCTAAGGATGTTCTTGGTTTGAAGGAAAAGGCAGAGAAGGAAACGTATATAAAGTTTGTATAAGTTTTCTACCTTTTCCTTCAAACCAAACACAACCTAAATGTATTGAACAGTGAGCTGTTAGAAACATGAACCCACTGCCTTCTGGTTTGACCTCCAGTTTGGGCTGGTCTTTAAAAGATTACGAGCTGCCTAATGCACAAGGCTCCCACCAATGCAGGTCTTAAAAGATTATGGCCAATGCCTAAATGATCAATGTATAACTTGACCCAACTAGACCATCCTAAATAAACTTGAAAGTGCTCAATTCGAGTTCCATTAGGTTCTAACTTAATCAACCTGACCTTTGACTTTTTTTTTTTGATAAAACAAAAGGGGCTACATAAGGCGGGGGACCTTGTGTTTTGTTGGGCCCTCTTTAGGGATGTCAATGGGTAAAGTTTAGGTTGCATCAGGGTAGCTGGTCCCGTTGTAAGTGGGTAGTAAGGCAACGAGGGGATGATCTCCTTGAAGGACGAAGATGGAGCCGGTTCCGAATTGGAGTTGGGGTTGGACTCAATTCTCTGGAGGGAAAGGTTAGAGGATTTTGGTTGGGAGATTCTGGGGGTTCAAAGATCTGTCCCCTGCGGCTTGCATCTCCTCCTTTTTTATAGAGGAGATTAGAGATCCTGAGGATATAAAGAGAAAAGTCTAAAAGAGTACTACTTTTCCCATTTGGGAAGGAAATCTTGACTCTTTTGTCTGCCACCAA